TCGCAATGCCATTCAGGGCGACTTAACCAAGGTTTACTGGTTAGTGACCTGAAGGAGTTGTGTGTGAGTCACGTACGTCCGAGACCGGACTAAGAAGAGGAGGGACCGACGTACAAAAAAAGAGTCCTGACTATTAGTCTACGTCAAACCGCTAGGACGCCGCTTTAAGAGGGAGACGTCTGCGCGTAGGTGGTCGCAAATATTTAAGGAAAAGAATCGAGGGTTATAGTTTCGGCGTTGTTGATAAAAAAAATGAACCGGCGACTGAAAACACACACGAGTCCCACTCAAACCGACACAAGCGACAGCGATTTGTTCCTTTGGTGTGCGAGGGTCGTCCTCGAGTCGGCGCTAAGTGGTTTGCCAGGCTCGGTTAGTCTCCGTGTGGACACGACGTGTCCCTCCCACCCCCCGACCTCCGATAACCTCGATGTTGCTCGGTCACTTATGTGCATCAAATCCGTCTCTACGACATACTCTTTGGTTTCACTAAAACCTTTAACGTTGTTATATTTAGATAAGAATCACCGGAGTTGTTACCTTAATACTAGTAACTTTACCGGTACTGTACCCTTGGGAAATTGGTCATATAATGTAAAACAATTTATTTTTTGTTACATTTACACAAACTAATCACACACGTCGGTGAGACACGACCACCTGAACGACCGTCACTCCGAACGACCTCTTCGGTCAGAGTCCCGCTCGCGAATTCCTTCTACTCGCCGTTAGTTGTCCGAGGGACAGGTGGACCCCGTAAGCAGTAGTCGCCGAGACCGGTTGTTATCCAGACATACGTCCTTGAAGTCTCTCGACGCCAAATAGAATACTCACGCATTCGGAACCTAATTACCAAATAATCTCGGATGTAGATTTATGATTCGGTAAGTCGATAGGTAAGACCGACACTGTAGTGTAAGTAACGACAAACACAAGCGTCCTGTAAGTCCGGCACGCGTATGTCCTTGAACGTAACGTAATGGCTCCACGGATTGGTCCATTTGGTTCCGGGTAACGCATGACATCATGAGTTACCCAGAAGAATCAATGGACAGTGACGTATCTCCAACGAGGCGTTTTGGGGAGGTATTTTCTATGTTAGAGTTTTACTCGCTACAGGGTGTACTTTGAGGGTTTTGACTCTGCAGACCGTTTACATGCATAAAAACCTTCATAACACACAAGGGGACGGGTAATAACCGGAAAAGCATGACATGGGACCTTTAATATCCGATTTTTTAAAACGAGATGAACAACAGCAATTTTAGACCTCCAAACAACAGAAATCTTTCTTCATTTACAGTTTTGATATTTTAAAACATACAAGTGAAACACATTGGTTCCTGCCATAATGAATGGGTTCATACTCACACTTGCATTTGACGTCCCTGCCAATATTGGCTCCTTCGATATCCAGCTGGAACACTGAATGGGAACGAGAGGAGCGGTCATTCTGGGATGTCTGAGCCGTGGAGCGGTTGTGATTTGCCATCGCGATCAGACCGAGAACCTGGCAGGAGGAGGGGATGATAGAGATCATTTTCCGTTAATTAACAATTGCACGGATGACATGGTGTGCAAGCAGTTAATTGAAATACCGATCATACTTTTTTCATTCTCATTTGAACCGGCAAATGAACTTAGATAACTGCCTGGCGTACCTGATCCTCGTTGGTGACCTTCTCATATGTCAAGCTGGTGATCGTCACTTCGTTGTTTATCAACTTCCGTATTTCATGCTCGGGCCTCTTGCTGGCTTTGCCGGTATAGAGGAGGTCCCGGAGTGTCTCATTGTAGATTTCGACAAAACTAGCAGTAAAGGTGAACTGAGATAAAACAGGAATGATTACAACATTTAATTAAAAAGGGAACTTTCCTTCATCATACTGCATCTCCCCTACAGCGTCTATACATACTCTATCTATGCCACAGTCCCAGAGTGTGTATTGTTGGCTGGTATCAACAGTTGTACGTAGCAGGAATCTAAACTTTTGGACTGGGGATGCAAAAGGGAAAAGCTATCTTGTTTTTGCATTGCTTGGATCTGCCTTTTGACATTGTGTTGACCTTTAAATATGTCAGAATTGACTTTCTTTAGTAAACATCCATTTGTACCTGGAGCACTGAAATAGTCAGGTGGATAAATAGTGTTTGATTAAGCTCCCCCGTTACAGTGGTAAACTGTACAAACTGAACTTTAACTGCTTTGGTTGCAGTTTGAGAATCAACACAGGCAACTTTTCTCAGAGAAGAAGAAGCTATATCAAGTGACTGTACACGACCTGCTCAGCAGCAAACAGGAGACAAACTGAATGATAATCTTGCACCATAATGACTGAAAATCTAAATCAGCAAACAAATTAATGTTGAGCCTCATTTCTCAATGTGTTTAAAATGGTTTGATTGAACTAAACACTGTTTACTTTAAGACTAATCGGCATATGTAGTAGGAAATATATATTCGCATGACATCACACTCACCACCCAGCCCTGTGCTCCGAGTTTCTCTGCTGCTCTGAAGATTTGTTTCACGGCTCTGGGAATGACGCCTCTGGCCTCATCATACTCGGCTCCCTCCATGGTGAACGTCTTTCCACTTCCTGTCTGGCCATAAGCGAAACAGCAGACGTTGTAGCCATCTAGCGCAGACTGCACCAGCAGAGAGATCTCTTCAAAGACCTGAAAACAAATGGACAAACGCCACACCACACAACATTAGTATTTTAAATCACATCTGGTATTTATTCATGATAACTTGAACACTGCTTTTATATATTGTAAATTGTGATTTCTTCTGTACCTCCTTTTGTGAAGCCTGGGGTCCAAACACCCTGTCAAAATTGAAGTTGTAATTTTTCTGAGTGTCAGCAGTTTTGCCTGTGTGAGACTAAAAAGCAGAAAGGGGAAGAAATAATTATTACAGTTGTTATTGGCTGGTTAGAGAGTAAATATATCACAGAAACTCTGCATGATACTAACAACTGTAGTAAACTAGGACAAAATAAACACGAGCTCCATGACTACTACTTTTCATTTACTTGTTAATTTTTCCAAATTATTTCTCTTTATATTGAGTAACTAACAAACATATCTTTATGTCATAGATTCTCACCTCCTCAGTTTTAGCCAGAGTTATGGTCTTGTTGTCAGTGGCTGGCAGCTGAAGGTGCTGGCTGAGGCCTCCGCCCTTCAGGGGGCGCACTCGGCAAAAGACCCTGATATTGCCCTGCAGGCAAAGCATGAGGGACATATTAGTCTCATTGGTCAGAGAGAAAAGTAACATTTGACTGTTTGTTAGAATGCTTTGGATGTTTAGTGATTACAACACAACAAAGTACAAAAATAAATGCAAAGAAAGGTATAAATAGTAAACAGCCGAACGTGCCATTAATTGTAAGGCCTTTCAGTGTGCTGTCATTGGGTTGTGCTCAGCTGGTACACCACATTGTTACTTGCCTTGAGCTCCTGGATGGAGTTGTGGAGCTGCCTCCGCTCCATCTCCCCAGCATGAAGCTCGCCCTTCTGCTGGACCACTGTCTCCCCCAGAGAGCGGACCTCTTCCTCTGCGTCTCTGAGGGTCAGCTGCAAGCGGGACAGGGTAGACTCCTGCACGGAGAGCTTCATCTGGAGAGGAAGGAAAGACGAAATAACTGTTTAGTTCAAGTCTATCCCAAAATCTGGCCATTTTATTCTAGATTTTTTAAATATCCTAACCTCTAGAATGGATTATAACTTTAGGTTTTTAAATGCCCAGTTGTATAATAGAACAACTTATTGTGTAGAGTATGCCCTAGTGTTATTAGGTATGGGGCATGTAACGGAGGTGATCTCTGGGGCCATAGATCTCGGTCTCCGTTACGGATTATATTGCTTCATTATTGGCGAAGCATATTAATTTGTTCTACCCTAAAACATTGCACAGGAAGCAAGTGAATATATGTCATTTATGCATCTATTTTTCACGATCTGTCTATGTTATAGTTTGTCTGTCTCTGTTTGAGTTTGAAAAGTGTGCCCCCTCCTGTTGATTCTGTCCCCCTGGTGCCCCTGTGTTTTCTCCTCCCCCCTCGCCTGTGTCTTGTTGGTTTGATTAGTCCTGTGTGTATTTAGGTTCTGTTTTCCTGTTGGTGTGTGTGGGTGAGATCCTGGTTGCTGGTGACTGTGTTCACATGAAACAGTCATATTGAGGCTGTGTATACCACAATGATGAATAAATGCCCACACCGGGTTGTATTTGGACGTTCTGCCTCTGCCTCCTTACTTGGTCGGGCCGCTCAATGGTCAGCTTCACAGGGCACCTGCAAAAGGTCATATTTATGCAATGATAGCACCCAGCTTATACCTTGAGAGTGTGCAGCTCCGTCTCCTGGCTCTGCCGGAGAGTCTCCATGACCTTGTATTTGTCCTCTAAGTTGGAGAGCTGCTTCTCAATAGAACTCTTCTCACTCGAAACTTTATCTAACTCCTCCCGGACTCCTGACAGCGCCTGCAACTCCTCCTCATACTCACTAAAGAAAAGAAAAACAATCACAGAAAGCGAAGGACATTTAATGGTGTGTAAAAAGAAGACAAATTATAAACCACATTATGATGAAAGTAAAATATTTGACTGAAGTGGTCCTTGTACCTGATCTGGCCCCTCTGCACCGCCACACACGTCTCCAGATCAGTCACTCTTGTTTGGCTTTTGACCATCATTCTTTTCAAATCCTCATTCTCCTGGTTGACAGATTTGACCTTGGTCTGGTAGTTACGCAGCTTACTCTCCATATCGGTGACCTTGCCCTTCAGGTCCCATCCTTGACGCTTTGTGCCCGCAGCCCCGCCTGTGACTGTAAGCATACACAACCGAATCATCAACAGGAGTGACAGTCACCAGATTTTATTCTAGCCCACGACAGAACATGCTTTTTAAACATTAATCTCTATCCAATAGGAACTTGACATGTCATGGTAGGAAAAGCAGAGGTGTAAATAATAGAATAAATGGTGGATGATATCTGGGTGGGATCTCTCACCTGCTTTTGTGCCAGTGGGTGCAGCAGCTGCTTTAATGTTGCTTCCCCTTGGTGCTGTTGAAGCAATAGCTTGTTTCAGGACCCCTGATGGAACGAGAACAATGTATAACAAATCACGTCAGAATAATTCATCTCACACCGGAATCTGTTAACTTAATAACAACACCCTTTGCTTAAAGCACTTCTGAACGTTCTTGCTACAAGTTAGTAACAATTGATAACAATATAACTTTTAAATGTCGTCTAATTTAAAGTCTAATTTTATATCAGACATAACCTCAAACTTGAATGCTCAATCCCTGCTCCAGTACAGTTCTGTAAAACAAGGCCAGCAACCCTGACATAAAAGAGTATGCCTATGCACTTTGTTCCGTTACCAAGCAATCATCTCACCTCTGGAAGGACCGACAGCCACAGTAGCAGCTCCCGTTGGTCTGACTGGCCGAGCTGTGCGGGGGACGAAATGATAGGATTATATTTCGATATAATAATAGGACAGAGCTATATCAAAAAAATAATTTGTTTCAATATATTTGGCACAAAAAACTTTCCTCAACATCGACTCAATCTAGTTCCCACATAGTCTCGGTGCATTCTGACCATGGTGAAAACTAAATGTAATCTTGAAACTTACAAATAGGTGCTTTGATTGCAGCAACTGCAGGCCGCCTGGTACCGATGATGGTAGATGCTGCATAAGGTTTGACAGGCTCTGGGTCCTTGCGAGTCTTTTTCTATAAACACAAAACACGACCAGGATGACGCAAGAGCAACGACTCAGCTTTTATGAGCTATAACATCTGGTAAAGCCAATGAGCAAAACAGTAGATGCTTTTCGTACAAACCTGAGCCGGTGCCAAGTCTTGGCCATTCTCAGAGCTGCTGGAGCTGCTCGTGAGGACCCTCTTGTTTGAACTGACTGGCAAGCGGGACATGTTCTGTTAGGGTAAGGAGGTCAATTATGAACAAAAGAGACCATCACAGAAAGAAAGAAAAAGCAAGTATCAACACTTCTTTACCACAATAATTTAACTCAGGAGCAATTTATTCCCAGTGTTCCTATTATTTGAGTAGCATATAAGCATCAGCCTTGTTTGAACAGAGATGTTCTAACAACACCCACTATTATTCTTACATTTCCAAACTCCCTAAGACTCTTCAAACCATGTTGATTAAATAGTGTATGTGTGATTGCCATAGCATGGCTTTTCATGCAGGATGTCCCATGTAGTGCAAATGACAACTCTGCATTGTTTTCTTGTATCAGCCCAGTACCAGGAAGAATACAAAATGACCAGGTACTATACACTTTACGTATGGCTACTTCAAAAAGAGCAGGTTTAGTTAAGTAACGTGATTAAGAACCATACCGTATCATGCAGTGGAAATGCTGCATTTATTAACAGTTAACGTACAAGAAGCTAACTGTCTTTATGGTTTACAGCGTTTACGTTACATTCAGAACTGATACTGTCGGCTGAAACTTAAGAGTCATATAACGTTAGGAGAGTGTAAGCTAACGATTACATATTAAATGAGTTTCGACTGGATTATAGTTAGCCATGTAAACCCGATTAACCAATGTCCATGATATTACTGGTCAACATTTAGCACTAGCTGTTATTGTTAGCAAGAGCATAAAACAGTAAAATGGCTACGTCAAAGTACAGGAACCTTGTTTTTTTTAAGTTTGTGAGCAGTGCTTTTTAACACCCTTTAAAAGCATTTGAACGAAATAAATACCTTTAAGTAATACAAATATTTACCTGACTATAGTTGACTTTAGAAACAAAGACGTTCCCAATCCTCCGTATCCGGGCGGTTTGAATTTGAAATCAAACTGTTTTGGTGGGCGCTCCAGAGATGGTGCTGTGATTGGTTAAGTATTGTTAACCCCGCCTCCTGCGGGGTTAACAATACTTAACTATTTTATTTCTATTTAAGATGTTTACATTTTTGATTGTTTAATTCTAGTCTTTTAACTGTCTAATGTACAATGCCTTGTCTTTTGCTGCTGCAGCGTAAACATTTCACCAATTGATATCAATAAAGTACTTCTTATTTAATCTTAATCCTCAAATATTAGCACATTTTACTTTTAAAAAAACAAAACATTGATGTAACTACATACACATATCGATATGTTGTATAAATATTGCAAATCAAAACCTTTATTGACCACTAATTACCAAAAATTGCATTTCTATCCTGTTATTAATGCATTCAAATCGTGATTCAAATGGCCCGCCACGAACTTCCGGGGAACGCAACCATGATGCAGCGCCATGACTGACATGATGTTGCTTGGGGGGCGGGGCTTAGCAAGGCCTCCCTCTGTCATGTTGCCTTCATGGATGATAGGTTGCACGAGAAATAGAACTCAATACTTTATATATACGTTAAGCGAGCTGTTGAGCATCGTAGTTGGCAACAATCAAGGTATAGATGAACGCGCAATAAACTGTGCTAGAATGTAAAATTACGTATCCGCAATCAAGCATTGTCCTTCCCCACTTCCACGTAGCTCCATGAACGCAGCATAGTATTGGCCAAGGTTGCGTTCCGATAATCCAAAAATCAGCTCCTAAATTCTAACCCTATCTCCTATTCCTTGACCTCTGAGTGAAACGTCACGGGGTTAAGGGATAGTGGATAGGAGAATTCAAAAGGATTTAGGAGAAGAGACTGCGGTACTTAGAGAATCGAATGCACTTCTCACTACTGACGTGTTTTGAATGCGCCAGCGGACGTCATTTTGTGTGGTCTGCGCGTGGTGGAAACTATCGAAACCACAGTGTTCTATACACACGGACTACCATGGATGTTTACATAAGAACGAGGGACTCGAGACTACTGCACCGTGCTCTATGCTGTTGTTTTATGCTTTATGACGTGGACAATAGAGCGATATTCTCATAGACCAAAGTCTGTAATTGAATAATAAAGGAAAGTTAAATTTATGCTCGTCAGCCTCTCCCTCCGGTCCACAATTAATACAAATGAGTCGATGATGAGTGTATGAAAATATCTTAAAATCAATACAAATGATATTATTATTAAACGTTAGCTCCCTTAAAACCTATCATGTGTACATCATCAATTCAAACATCTTTTAAAACAGTGAGACGAAACCTCCACACAGCTCAGTGAAATGTTGACTTTATTTGATAATTTCAGTAAAAACAACGTTCATATTTCTCTTTTTGATCCATAATACCTGATACGAAACAGTTCAAAACAAAGCACTTTGCAACTTACCACATAGTTTAAAAATCATTATAGCACCGTAAACTTCATGATATATTTCTCCGTCATCAATCGTCTTGTTCCGTGAACCGGCCGACTGTTGTGTGAACGCAAATGCTCCGGCTGCAAGGCATTTGTGGGGCAGCCATTTCCTCCAGTGGCGGCTGGGTGGAAATTATTTTAAAGGTGGGGGCTATTGTAATGGTGGAATAAACAAACACAGGAAAATTTTTGAGAAATTACCACCCCGTTAAATTAAATTGCTACACTATTTCAATTTTGCTGTCTGTATGATGGTGTTTAGCCTAAGGTATTTAGCGTCCTACAGCACCCTCCGCTTTAGGGTTGACTTTGACCCAAACGTCGCCCGGAGGTCCCCGGTGTTTTGTTGCGGGAGCTGCTGCACCTAGCTAACAACTCCACCCGGCTAACGCTACATTGCAAAACAACGCTTATTTCTTTTGCAAAAGGTGCAGCGGGCTTCAAACACGTTTCCCCTCCTACTGGTTTCACCAACACTAATTAGCATCGGTTTTCCAACTCAAATACGGTGGAACTGACCCACTCTCCCCATATTATTTCTAAGTAGATGTCGAAGATACATGAGTTTCTGATGCCGCAAGTTGAAGCTTGTTGCTAGGTTAAATCTAGCTGGGTGTTCTCCCAATAAGGGGCCGCGGGGACAACAAAGTTAGTGTTTACTGTTCCATGTTGATTTAATTCATACAAATTGTTGGGCGGGAACTGAAAGGCTATTACCGTACTGGTTCTTTGCACGCCCGGACATTTCGCCCAAACACATTTAGACGCTATCGCAACACGAAGTACCTTCAAATCCGATCATTTTAAGACCTTCTAAATCATATTTAAGACCTTTCTTATTGTTTTTGGTCATATTTAAGACCTTTTTAAAGGCCTTACATCTTCAGACTTATCAAATGTAAGACTTTTAATACCCAACGCAGGAACCCTGAGGAGACTAAATACGAACATTATATGCAGACACAGACGTGGTCAGAAACACAGAAATATTAGAAACAGACGATTAACGTGCAAAACATCTAGTTTGATGGTGCTGTCAAAATCAACTACACATAATGTTGTGTGTGTGTTGTGTGTGTGTGTGTGTGTGGTGTGTGTGGTGTGTGTGTGTGGTGTGGTGTGTGTGTGTGTGTTTATTTGCATTGGGCACATAGTACTGCCCCGGCTGTTGAAGAGCAATGCATGGGAAACAAAAGACAGTGTTTACCTCTTTGCATCCAGCTAGTCACACACACAGTTACAATCACACTCCCTGTAATTGACATAATTAATAGAATTTAGCTTCTTTTCCCACCATCATGTTGCATGTGGCCCACTGATCGTTAACGTCGTAACTGAAAGGCTGCCTGTCCAACGTAAAACATTCAGCCACCTGACTCGCAAACTCTCGCAAGAGTTTTACACAAGCCATTTCTAGCCATAAACCCGCACCGGGCGCTGACATTGGCCGCCCGGTGAACATCAGATTGACCGACGCGATTGGCTGAAATTATGTTTTTGAGCCATAGCTTACACCATAGCAACAGTCAGCTGCTAGTGCTGCTGCTGCACCTGGATTGAGGCTCCTCTCTTAGCGCCCAGACGAGAGAGGGTAATGTTCCACGGGCAAGGCCAGGCAGGAACCATTGTGATTTATCAGTAAATTTTAGACATCGTGAACACCATTTAAACCCGAGATTTATTGTGATTATACATTTTACTGATACCAAATTATATACATATTACCATTGTTCATTAAATTAAAATTAAAAAAAAAGAATATATATAAAAAAAAAAAAAAAAGATTACATTTTTTTTCATAGGCGCACCCTAGCGCCCCCTATGGGCCGGTCGCCACTGAATTTCCTCCTCTCCCTTAACGGCCCGTCCACCACTAATAGCGTCGACAGCTTCAAAAACAGTCCAACAAGCGTCTGCCCATATCACTTTGATGGGGTGACGTCACGTTTGCCTCGCTTTCGCCGAACCTGAATTGTGGCTAGCAGAGCGAGATTTCACTGGCGTTTCAGGCTGCCAAAAGTTAACAATGTTCAACTTTCTTGAAGCCGTAGACGCCGAGTAGCCAGCGTCAGCCAAATCAAATCCGCGTTTATGCAAATCTGACAGTCAAATCGCTAGCCAATCAAACCGCGTGCAACTGGGAGAGCCAGACCGCAGTTCAATTTCTCATATCCAAACGAGAAATTACGGTAAGCAAATCACACGGTTCTTTACGACCAGCAACTTATTTAACCTGGGATAAAAACGGAGGAACCAGGCATGGAGGGAAGGTGGCAGAGACAGTGGGTGAAACTGTTAGGTTTTCCAGCCTGTTTGGGGAGTTTATATATATATAATATGTGCTCACATAAAATCCCCGGTTTTTTTTGCATTGGTTGCCGGGGGCGGACATTCATCGTGATTGTTTTGGTCGCGGTGCTCGAATAAAATCCCCAAGCTTCACACACGGCCCAAGCTCCAAGTTTTTTTTTGAAGCTTAGTGGTGGACTGGGCCGTAAGGGAGGTCCAGTGGTTCCTAAACTAATGGAGGTTATAAAGAAGTTGAAACCTTCCTTTCCTTCATTGGAGAATAGAGAGCCGCAGTGACGCCGTCCTTAAAACCCGGAAGTAAACCCTTCTTCCGGTTCCCTTCGTCTAAAAACGCAATGCAAGTTCCCATAGGATTTTGG